AATGTAAAACTAGCTTTATCTGGAATGTAACGTATCATTTGAATCAAATTTCATAAAAAAACATTAATGTTTCTATATTTTGTAAAAATGAATTTTCAAATGGTATTTATAATATTTCACCAAAACAATAAATTTAGGATATCTTAAATCTGAAATTGAATTATGATTTATTAAATAAATTTCAATTTGAATAAATAATAAATAGTGTTCTAACTTTTTTTTCATAATAAATATTAAATTATTTTATTTGGATTTTAAAATTATTGGACAATTGAGCATTATTTAAAATTTGATATTTTTTCTTTGTATCGAGAGCTTTCAACTTAAAGTTATTCCAATTATTCTCAATGACAATTTAGTCTCTAAACGCTTTCCTAGTAATGTCAATTTTGCATTTCCAAATAATAAGTATTTGAATTACCTTCTAATCTCCATTGCAAATAAACGAATACATTATTAATTTATAATTAAATTAAATAAAGGATTTTATTCTTAGTAATTATAATTAATATTTAAAATATTTAATTAATTAACTATCTTGTTTGACATAAATAAAAAATATTAGGTAATATAAAATAGATATTAATAAAGATAAATGAATTTCTAAATCACCTGGGTTAAATAATTGATCAATATAAAAATTAATTTATAGCTTACATTTTTTTATTAATTATTATTTTTATTTTAATATTTATTTTTCTAGTTAAGCAATAACTAGATTTAAAAACTGATAGGTATTGGAAAATTATTCTTACTAATTTGATTTGCATAGTTTAAATTGTGAATCTGTATTGAGGTTTCTTGATTAAATCGATATTAAAAGATCATTATTATTTCAAGCAAGAATTAAAATATTATATTTTGCTTAAACTAAATTTACATATTAAATCTTAGTAATAAGCATAAATAATATGTTATATAAGCATTTTACAAATAAATAAATTCACAATTTAATATGTCAAATGTCTTTCATTTTTTTAGAGCGCTTATAACTTTTCCCTACTTTTCTTTTCAAAAATATATAAATGGAACAATTTATGATAATTTACAGTTTTTGATGTTACGTCTCTTTGTTTTCAAAAAAGAATTTTTAAGTTAGTTTAGAAATTGTAAACAACTCAAACAGCAGAAATATTAGAACACTATATCTTGATGTATGAATATGATGCTTAGTGTGAAAAATTTTCATTCAATTGATATATAATTAAATTTTAAAATTTATATTTGCTAGATATCATCTTTGAAAATGAATCTTTAAGGATTTTTTGAGGTAAGCAATTAAGAAAAAATCTAATTAATAAAAGAAAAATATACAAGACGATAATTACAGTATCTTTTACAAATGAATTAAAAAATATAACTTTTTGATTCAAAAATACCAAATTTAATAAATGTGATTTAAGAAGAATATATTCCTTACTTTGTCATTCAATCATAATAAATAGTTCTCAAATGTAAATTTTTCAAATTAATTTCAGTCCATTTGCCAATTTTTTTACCATTAGAATATTCTCCATTGAAAGTTATTTCTTTTGAACCATAGCCACTCTTGTAAAATCCGTCACATAACTCAATCCATTTCCCAGTCTTAGAACCAACATCATATGATCCACCTCCACTATATATAGTTATTAATAATTGATATTACATTATTTTTTCTTAAAATTAAATGTCCCATATACCAATTTTTATACCTTTTTTATACTCACCACAATTATAGATTTTTGAATCTTAACAATAACCATCCCTCAATTCAATCCATTACCCAATCTTGATTGAACTATTATTGCTCAGCTGAACTCCAAATTATCCACCTCCACTATAAATTAAGTTATTTAAATTTATTAATAATGTATTACATCTTTGAACTCTAATGAACTTAATTCCAATAAATATCCCATTTACCAATCTTTCTTCCATAATTATAATTCCCATTGTAAAGAACTAAGTCCTTACTCTAAATACTATAGCTTAATTCAACCCAATCACCATTTTTAAATGAAATTCCTTCAACCGAATCATTATATAATCCACCTCCACTTAAGTTTTGTATATATAATATTTAATTTATAAATTTATACATCTTTTTTTTGCTTTCACCATATTTCTAATAAGTATCCCATCTACCCACCTTTTTACCATCATTTTTATAATCACCACAATAAGTAATTTGAGATAGATTCCAAAATCCATAACTTAATTCAATCCATTTACCAACCTTAACTGAATTCTCTTTGTATTTATGATATTATCCACCACCACTAATTAATAGATTAGATAACTATTATGAAGACCAATTACATATATTTATATTCATTCTTTCCATTTTATTTCCAATATATATCCCATATACCAGATTTTTTCCCTTAATTATAGACACCAACAAAAATAACTTACGCCTTACTATCAAAACCATCACTTAACTCAATCCATTTGCCAATTTTCATTGAAATTCCCTTTGCCAAATCATCATATGATCCACCTCCACTAAAATTTGGTTTATACAATATTTAATTTATAAATTTATACATTTTTTTATTGCTTTCGCCTTATCTCCAATAAGTATTCCACTTACCAACTTTTTTACCATTATTATAAACACCACAACAAGTTATTTAAGATTGGTACCAAAATCCGTCACACAATTCAACCCATTTACCATCTTTGATCGAAGAATTTTTATCGAAATATTTATATTATCCACCACCACTTAAAATAGATTAACATCATAATTTTATACATTAATTAATGATTTTTATCTTTATTCAAATAAATATCCCATCTATCAATTTTTATACCATTTTTATAATCACCACAATAAAAGACTTACGAACTACTGTTAAATTCATCATTTAATTCCATCCATTCACCAATTTTAATGCAAGTTTATTGTGATCTATAATCATACAATCCACCTCCACTAATATTTTAATTTAAAAATTTTTTACACTTCTTTAAATTATACCTCAAATTCATTTCTAAACAAAATACTCCATTTACTGACTTTTTATCCATTATTATAATAACCTTAATACAATATCTAACTCTCTCTAATGATTAATGATGAAATATAAATACTCACAAAATCTATCACTCAATTCAATCCATTTACCACTTGCTTAGCCAAATTAATTGTAAAATCCACCACCACTTCTAATTTATTTATATTTTACATCTTCTTATTCTTATAGATATATCTCCATTTTCCTATTTTTTTATTATTAAGATATTCACCTAAGAAATAAACTTAAGTTTTTCTATTTATTTAAAATTAATTTATAATTTGAATTACATCGTAAAATTTTTGAATGTTTCTTTCCACAAACCCTATTTTAACCCATTCTTAGAGTAGAATCCACCAACTTCAATTAGTTTTTCTCCTTTCCAATATGAATCCAACTTATAATATTTTTGTTAATTTGATCCATAATCTTCTATCTATTAAAAATATTTAATTTATTCTAAATTATTAAAAAATTCAGGTTTTTAAGAAAATTATTCAACTTAATCTCTTCCTAATAATTAATCATTTTACATTTTAAGAATTTCTCCATCAAAGATGTACATGAATTCATTTTATTTTAGTGATAATACTTAACATTTTGATCTTAACTTTCTAGAGGATAAAGGATTTGTAAATGTAAATTCTTATTCTTGAATGTTATTAAAATTGCCAATCAAAGGCATTAATTACAACTTTTCGCTTTCCTTATCATCACATAAATCTTCATCGATTATTGGCTTGAATTTCAATTCCTTTTTTGATACATTTGAACAAATATTTCCCATTCCTATATTTTTTAAATATTTAAATGCACATTCAAATGGAATTATTTTTAATTTAAATCCTAAATATTAGGAATTTTTCTTTCATTCTATTTATTTTATATGTTATATCAAAAGTTTTAGGTTTCGTAAGGAAAAAAATGCAATATGAATTACACATATTAGAAAAAGAGCCAAGTAATTTTTTTATCTATATAATTACCAACATAATTCTTATTTTTATTCGATTGTTAAGTCCTCATTAATTATTGAATTAATTCTTTTAGTTACTCCTATTCAAAAAGAAGGTTTAACATATAATAAGGTTATAATATTAATATAAGATTTAAAGGCATCATATATTTTGGTTTGCCCTTTAATTCATCAATAACCACCTTAAAATTATCAATCTTGCTTTCGTTTTTTATTTAATTTGTTTTAGAAAAAAAAAGTTTAGAGAAAAATAAATATAGTCATTGTGGATTTAATATTTCAGGCTTCGATACAAAGTAAGATGACATCTTTGATTTTAGTTTATTTAATTTTATAATTGAATAAGCTATTGAATTCATAAATAGATATTAATTTAAAATAAAATTTATTTAATTTATTTTAGAAATTTTCTTTTTTAACTCTATTATTCAATTAAAATATTTTCAAGAAATATTAGATTGGACTTTTCAATAGGATTGAAATTATCATTTCTGTTTCTTTTGATTAATATCTTCTTAAATTTTTATCCCTATGATTAATTAAACTGATTAAATTTAAAAATAATATTGCTTTTAAACCTGCGTTTGGTTCAATTACAATATAACAATTACATTACGTGTGTGTGGTATTATGTTTGAATGTGATATAGAAAACTAAAATTTAAGGTCTTCCTCCAATTGGAAATTGGGGATTATTTTCTTAGAGAGATATATAAAAAATAGAGAAGAGAAGTATTTTAAAGATCTAAAATTATTAAATTATTCTTAAAAATCACATGCTTAACAATACAATTTAGAAAATCGGTTTTTTTGGAAAATTTTATTAAAAATCAAAATATCAACTTATCACTTTTTTTTAAATCCTTCACTAAATTTATTTAAATTATTTATCTTTATTTTTTATTTTGTATTTTTTTTCCAATATTATTTTTGATTATTTTATATTTTATAGGTATTTTTAATAATTAGGAATGAAATTAAATTAAATTAAAATGAGTAAGATTTAAAAATTAGTGTTTAAATTGTTAGGATTATCATTACACCTCTAAAGTACCTATTTAGTCTTCAATTGTCCAACATTTTTCTTAAATTTTACATAACATAAGGCGACTGGAGCCATCCAAAAATAGCCAGTCGCATGAGATTTAAATGGAGATTTGTTTTCAAAATTTATGAGAGACCTCCTCTTTTATTTCGCCTTTTGCATCTCAACCAAGAAATTTTTTAATATATATTTAGAGCACCTA